CCGTTAACGATGTTAACGATCTGTCCGTCACGCGTTGCGTAGCTTCGCCACTTTTTGTGGATTTTTTTTTTATAAAATTTTTACTGTATTACCACAAAGACCAGCCGTTAACGATCTGTCCGTCACGCGTTGCGTAGCTTCGCCACTTTTTGTGGATTTTTTTTTTCTGCGACTAATAAAATTTTGGTCGACCAAGCCTCTTCTCGTCGACTATTAGGGGGCAGCCCTACAAATATTAAAGTTAAAAGTGAGCACAACAGATATCAGATGAAGCGAGTTGTACTGTTTTTATCCAGAGCAACCATCTGCATGCTTATTTCATGAACATTATGAAATGAAATCATGTTTTGGAGGCAAAAAAGTCCATTTTTGGATCTTTCAGGTGTTCTAACAATTTTGGCCACTACTGTGACTTTTAGGCGCAGCTTTGAGCCAAGAATTGTTTGTACTCTTAAGTCAATTCTTAGCAGTGTTCCTGTGAGTAATTCTCAGAGGCTTGATAAATACAGGCCCAGTTCCAGAAAATCACTGGCAGAGTGAATGAACCAAAATCAAACGATTCCAGGACAAATCATGGGACACATTATCTGTGTATCTTCCAGAATCGCTGTGTGAAAGAGGCTTAAAAAATCAGCATCTGCGGTCAAAAAAAACAATATCAGTCGACCGCTAGCCTTCATCTGACATTTCAGCAAGAACTAAAAAATGGTCTTTGTTTTTCTTGTTATGCAAAAAAAAAGTATGTTTTCGGAGACTAATGATGATTGATTGTTTGGTAACAGGCTCTTACAGAAGTAAGGATGCATCACTTTGATTCTGGAGAATCGCCCTGCGCTCTACTTGAATGTTCTGATTTGATCAAGGTGGCACTGCGCCAGAAACGTTAGGAAACCACTGTTCTAGCTTTATTTATTTTTTAGGCAATATGACAAAATCCACCAGAAACGGGAGGAAATTGTGAAAATGATAGAAGAAAACAACCGTGAAACTAAAAAGTTGAGGGAGAAGATGCAGGAGCTTGGAGAAAAGTGCAACCGGCAAACTCAAAAAGCCCAGGTGCACTTTCTTTTCAGCAATTCTTAAGTAAATGTAGTGCTTGCTTATATTGTATTATTAACATTACGACAGTTGTTTTTATTACAATGTTACAATCTTTAAAAAGTCTTCTGTTTGTTCTTTAGCATTTTCATGTAAATGGGCTAGTTTAATGTTAAAGCTGTTCAATGTTTTGTGTAATGATATCTATTACTTTTCTTCCGCAGGAATTCTATGAACATCTTCTCACAACTGTGGAGCATTACGACAAGCGGATTGAGAGCATTGTGGTGGAGACCAATGCAGACACTTTAAAAATGAAATCACATTTCTAGAATTTCTATTTTATACTCTTGACTGTTACTTCAAATTCCTGCATTTGTACAGTGTCTGTTGTTTTGTCATTTCTAAATGTATTTTTTCCCAATAAAATTATATTTGAATGTTAGGTGGCAAAAAGTTACTTATTGGTCTACTTATAGAGGGAATAGACTTAACTCCTAACACCAGTATTGTTCTTTTATAAAACCCATTTATTAGAAACATTTGAGTCTTGCCTGTTCAAGTGAAGCGAAGGATTTGTTTTAAAAGGTTTGGATTCAGGGTATCAGGTGTAAAGCTACGATTTGGATTTATTTTGGTGAATGTTAAAAACTGTATTGGTCTGCGAGGTAGGCCTGTGTGATAAAACGGTATCGATATTTATTGACAGTACTCCATCCATAACGATAGAAAAAATGCTCGATATAGGCACGTGCTATGAGTGACGCAGACAGCACACAAACACGAACATGAGTGCTGTGCTGCCTGTGATGAGGAGATTGTGAATAAAAAAAATGTATATTAGTCGAATTTAAAATGGAAAAAAAAAATGTGCATTTGAATGCAACAATGGTACAGTCGAATGTTAGGTGTGCATCAGGGAGCGTCATCAGTGGCGCGCGAGATGCGGTGGTGATGTATGGAGTGAAAACAGTATCAAATCTGCCCACAAAGGCACGCGAGAGATCCACACTCGCGCACACGGCAATCCAGGCAAAAGCAAGTGCATTAATTGTTTCTTTGCTCACAGAATGATCCTCAAATACTGTATCTGTACCCTTTATTTCATGCACAAATCGCGAGTCCTTTGCATTAGTGTTCTGCCTACTGCTTTCGGCTTCACTACCGTTCGGCAGGGGTGTGAAGTAACGAATTACAAATACTCACGTTACAGTAATTAAGTAGTTTTTATCAGTAATTGTACTTTTTTGAGTAGTTTTGTGTACTTTTACTTGAGTACATTTTAAGTGATGTATCGGTACTTTTACTCCGCTATTTTCCTCCGTTTGTGGTCGTTACATGCTTATTTTAATTTAATTTTTATCCATCAACGTGATTGGATAGAGAGTAATAGGTCTCGTGACTTTCGTCAAATCAAATTGTGCATAGAAAACTTTAACCGCCAACTGTTTATCACGGCTGCTGGAAGCGCATTCTTCAAGCATAAATTCAGTCGCAACTTCCTCTAACTTAATATGTTGAGGTAAATTTCGGATTTCTGCTTACTAAATGATTTGTATATAGGCTATGCTTGCCTATCTACACGGCCTGAAATTTGGTGTGAGGTTGCGGGTATTGCATACAGTGTTAACTCCCGCAAGTGCCAAGTTCGGTAAATTCCCACTCACTTATGAGACGCGCGATCTGCGCTGCCTCGTCTCTCGCTCGCGTGCGTTCTGCAGCGGTCACTTGGATAAGTAGTTGTTGCTTGTGGAACTTGTTGACTTTTGATGAGTTTGAAAAAGTCTCATCAAACTCATCAAAAGTCAACAAGTTCAACAAGCAACAAC